GAAAAGATTGGTGAACTCGACATACCTATAGAACTATTGCTCTTAAAGCAAAGGAGACAAAAAAAAAGACTGAAAATGTGAAGAGAGACCGGGTGGTCTGTGGATATAGATCTGTTTGTCCCTCTCTCTAGGTTGGGAGGGGGAGACCCAGGGGATGAGAGAAGACTGAAAAAAATTAGAAGAAATGAAGGTTGGAAAATGTCCAAATTTGATGGAAAACTATAAACTCATGGTTCCAAGAATCTCATTGAACCCCACGCAGAATAAACACAACAAAAACCTGCCAACTCTAACACAATCAAACTTCTGAGAAACAGTAATAAGAAGAAAATCTTAGAAGCAGCAAGAAAAAAAAACCCACCACATTATGTACAGTGGCATCTATATATATAAAAGGCTAATATGCAAAGTGTCCCCATGGGAGTTCGACTGGGAGACTGGGAGTTCTGTCGCTTGCTATGACGTGTGCTTACCACCAGGGGGCAGCATGGAACAAAGGAAGGCCCCAGCCGGCAGCCGGCAGCCAGGGAAGGGAGGCCCCAGCCGGCAGCGGGAAGGCCCTGATCGGCCCTGGTTGCCGGCCAGGCTGAGGGACCCTATCCGTGCCCAAATTTCATGCACCAGGCCTCTAGTAAAAGAATGACTGCGGACTTCTCATCTGAAACTATGTGCACCAGAAGACACTAGAACAGCATCTTTAAAGAGCTGAAAAAAATCTATCAAAAGAAAAAAAAAACTTAAAAAATGAAGGCAAGACCGGTTAAGGGTATGGCGTTCTTTTGGGGGGTGATAAAAAATGTCCTCAAATTGATTGTGGGGATGGTCGCACAGCGTTGAATACTCTACCAACCTTTGAATGGGATGTGACTGTCAAGAGTGTACACGAATAAAAGTGTCGGCAAAGCAGTCAGTCAAAAAATGAAGACTTTCGTAGACACACAAAAGCTAGGAGAATTTGTTGCCAGAATCCCACACCTGCAACAAAGTTAAAGGAAAATTTTCAAGCTGAAGAAAAATGTCAAAAGACACCGAGAAGAGGCAAAAGCAAGCCACCGGCTGGTAGGTAATGTGTATGTCATGAAGCACTGGTGTCCAAAATACATAAAGAACTTCTGCAAGTCAACATTAGAAAACAAACAAACAAAAAAACCCTATTAAAAAGTGGGCAGACGGGTTTAACCTGTACTCCACAAAAAATGTATGTGAGTGGCCCCTGGACACCTGGGACAAGCTGAGCATCGTCCATCGCCAGGGGAGGCAACTGGGAATGATGATGAAATACCGTCACGGAGCCACCAGAATGGCTGATACGGAGATGGAGAGTGTGGCGCGTCGGTGAGGGTGTGAAGCAGAGGGAACTCTCAGACACTCCTGGTGGGAACGCAGAGGGGTGCAGCCTCCGTGGAGAGCAGCCTGCCACAGACACACAGTTAGCGTGTGACCCCACACATTCCCTCCGCGGGGTTCGCCGGCACTCTGCCTGCTGGTGCGGATGGGACACGGAGGCTCAGGTGTCAGGGACTGGCCCGAGGTCACACGGCAGGATGCGGCAGCCCTGGGTGGAGGGGCCTGGCGTCCTCGGCCTGTGAGGTCCCAGGGGGAGGTGATGGTGTGTGTCTGGGGTCCTGGCTGGTCATTCCTTCTCTCGTTTCAGGTTGCCCTTCCCGCCCGGGGACCGAGTGACCTTCAACGGGAAGGAATGCATGTGCCAGAAGTGTTCCCTGCCCAAGTCCGCGGGTGGCAGCACGCACCTGTCCCAGGGCCTCTGGAGTGAGTGGGCGCTGGGTAACGCGGGGCAGGGGGCGGGGAGGGGGGGCAGGGAACCGGGATAGAAATCTCTGGTACGTTTGTGCCGCCAAACCTTTGCACAGGCTGTGCCCGCTGCCCTGTGTGCCACTCCTGCTTTTCACCCACCTCCCTTCCTGCATTTGGCCCAGCTCTGGCCTACCTCCTCCAGGAAGCCCTCCTGGCCTACTTCTCGTTCTCTGCCTCCAGCTCACTCAGCTCCCCACCGTTAATTCCAGGCCATCTAGAAGCCCCTTGGGAGAGCCCTTAAAAGAGCATTGAACTCTGGGCTCCTGTGGTCAGGGCTGCACATCGCAGGAGCCTGGCCAGGGTGTGTATGTAGTAGGTGCTCAATACGTGCTTCTCGCATGCAGAAGCTGGAGGTTGTTCCTATAAAAGCAGGAACGCCAGCTGGCCTGTGGGTGTGGGGCAGAGTGAGAGCGGGGCAGGCGCAGGCAGGTGCTGGCCTCTTCCAGCGCGGGTGACTCTTCGGGACCCAGAGGGATGTGGGGACTGGGCTGGGGCCCCGCGTTCCGGGCCCTGCTGCTGCCAGGATCCCACCGCAGAGGTGGCGTGTTTGGAGCCCACCCTGCGTGTGAGGTCGCTGTGGTGTCCCAGCACCAGGGCCACATGGCCTGGGACAGAGCGGGGGTTCCTACTGATTTCTGGAGCCAGGCCCTTGCCCACGTGGTTCCCATTCATTCACACGTGCACACATTCATTCCACTTGGTTCCCAGCCTGGGCAGCGAGTGGAGGAAAGCCCCTTCCCTCAGGCGCTGGATCTTGGAGCTCGAGTCTGTCTTAAAGTCGTTTCCCAAAGTTGCATGTGGTTTGAGCGGTGTGGTGATGTGGGAAAGCCAGAGCTTGCCAGCAGCCCTGGACTGTCCTGGCTCTGGCTGGAGGGAGCACCTACTGCCCAGGCCCAGATGCTCCACCCCTGGCAGGCAGGCCTCTGTCTCCCCAGCTCCCAGCCCAGTGCTTGCAGTCAGCACCTAGCCACAGCCCAGTGCATTCAGTAAGCGCCCAGCCACAGCCCAGTGCATGCAGTAAGCATACAGCCATGGCCCAGTGCATGCAGTCAGCACTCAGCCACAGCCCAGTGCATGCAGTCAGCACCCAGCCACGGTCCAGTGCATGAAGTCAGCATACAGCCATGGCCCCAGTGCATGCAGTTAGCATGTGCAGCCACGGCTCAGTGCATGCAGTCAGCTCAGCCACAGCCCAGTGCATGCAGTCAGCACCCAGCCACGGCCCAGTGCATGC